GATCATGACCTGAGCCGAAGTTGGACACTCAACCAGCTGAGCCATTCAGATGCCCCTAAAATGTTTATGTTTTAACTCCAACAAATCCTGTACTCTTTTCACCAAAAGTCTAATAGTATTATCTAGGCGATAGAATTATGGGTGATCTTATTTTCTCTGTTCTTTTCTAAATTTTGTATGAGTGTTTTTCAAGGCTGTGGACTCCTAGTTGTGGTATTATTCCAGAGCATACACAAAAATGCACTATATTGGGGTGCCCGGCTGGCTCAACCGATGGAGAGTGCAGTTCTTGATCTCAGGGTGGTGAGTTTGAGCCCAACGTTGGGTGTAGAGCTTACCTTAAAGGAAAAGAAAAAAGAAAAAAAAATGTGCTGTATTTATGGCCTAGAACCTGGAAAATTGGCCAACTAATATAGGGCTTTTAAACTTTGAAGGAGAAAATGGTATACGGGTGTATTGTGATGAGTAGTTGTAAAGAGAAATGCTTTTTGATGTCTATCAAAGAAGAAACTCACATTCAAATGACTGCCACGGGTGGTAAGGACTGTTCATTCCCGTCCCCACAGTCTGTAAGCACAGTAAGCAACAGGGGAGGGAAACAGCACAGGATTTGGAATTAGAAGATCTGCCTTTGAGTATCAGGGCCTCACTTCTAGTTGCTCCCTTAGTGAAGTCACTTAGCCTTTGTGAACTCTGGTCCCTTGTGTAATCATTTGGCGAACGGTGATATTAATGACGACTTCAGAAGGTTTTTGTTAAAACCTTCTGAATAATAATAATAATAATAATAATAATAATAATAATAATAAAACCTTCTGAAAACCTTAGTATTTTGTTAAATGATTATTTATTTTTGAGAGAGAGAGAGCACACGAGCCGGGGAGGGACAGAGAGAGAGCGACAGGATCCGAAGTGGGCTCTACACTGATAGCAGAGAGTTCGAGCCCACAAACTGCAAGATCATGCCCTGAGCTATAAAGCCGGACGCTCAACCAACTGAGCCACCCAGGCGCCCCCCCGCAGAAGTTTTTTTTTGAGGCTTAAATAAATTACAGGAACATGTTTTGTAAATTATGAAGTAATTATAGGAACATGTTTTGTAAATTATGAAGTACCGTGCACATGTAAGATAATTAAGAGTAGTAATCAGTTTCACTGCTTTGTTGCCATTCCCTGGAACATTCAGGCTGACTGCTTAGTGCGTTGAGATGCAAAGCTGCCAAAATAGAGAAAGTGTTACAGTGTTCTTTGTTTTGGTCCAGGACTGCAGCAGGCGATGATCAGCAGGCAGGTGCCATCCGAAAGTTCGGGACCGGCCTTCAGCCCCCGGATGCCCTACACTGGGCTTGCAGCCGAAGGTAGAAGTACGCTTGGAGACGCAGAGGCCTCCGATCCTCCTCCCCCTTATTCTGATTTTCACCCAAACAATCAAGAAAGTACTTTGAGCCATTCTCGCATGGAAACTAGTGTCTTTATGCCTCGACCGCAGGCCGTGGGTTCTTCCAGTTACGCTTCCAGCAGTGCCGGACTGCAGTGTCCCGGGAGCGACACAGACCTTCCTCCTTCCCAAAGAGCAGCTGGAGACAGTGTCGAGGAGTCCGATGACAGCGATTATGAAAATTTGATTGACCCCACAGAACCCTCTAACAGCGAATACTCCCATTCGAGGGATTCTCGAGCCCTGACACATCCCGACGGGGGCTCCAGGAACACTCAGACCTCCCAGATTTAGCTAAACAAGAAACTCTCCACTTAGCATGGTTTTTCTTCATTGCTTATTGAGAGAGGTTTTTGAGGACTTAATCTGGGGGAGGGGGGAGAACTGCTTTCTCAGAGCCCCGGACACCCAACAGGAGGGTCCCCGGGCACAGAACTAACTGGTAGGAGCCTCACGTCCACCGGTTCCCACCTGCAGTCGCAGTGCGCAGGTTTCGCGACCGAATCATTAAGATAATCAAATTGTCCTAATTCTGGTGCGATTCATGGATGTACTGGTAAATTTAGGCAGAGTGAAACTTATCAACATAGTTTCTGTTCTTTCGAATAAATTGGAAAAATTAGAGACTAAGCACAATTAGTCTATAAATGTTCTATAAATCAAAAACTTACCTCTTGCACTATCATGCCTTGAAATTTACTTTTTCAAAGGGAAACGAGTTTAGCAGCAGCCTTCAAAGAACCTTCTTTCTATGATGAGCCAAATTCATCTTTGCCAGAAAGAAATTTTGATAATTCCAAGAAGCCTGATTGGAACAAATCGGATGGACCTTCTCTTGTCTGCATGACTTTGTGAGATCAAAAGAGAGGGCTTTGTTTCAACTCTTTTCTACTAGCCTGATATCTGTTGTCACTTAAAATGGTTGCCTTTCAAAAAAAAAAAAAAAAATGTAGAGATACTAATTACCAGTAAGTAATCATCCAAATAAGTATGTCATAAAATAAATTACTTATTTTTCTTTCGGGGTATGACAGTGACTGCTTTGTTGCACTAGCCACATTTATGGTCTCTGTTCTGGAGTCTTCCAACCGAAGGACACACAGCAGCAGATAACAGAAAGGAGTTCTGTTCCAGACCTGCGCTTCATGCTGAACAGACTCCAGACACAGTGGAGTTAGCTGAGTTCGTACGTAAGGGATATAACGCATTTAGCAATTCTGACCAATCCTAGTGTTAGTTTTATTTGTGGAGGAAAGACATTTGATAAACCATTTGGGAATCTTGGTGACTAGAGATTTATTTTAAATCTGAATAACCATACTTATTATTTTTTAAATTGCTACTTGGAGGATAGTTGCAGAATGCGTAGAGACTTTCTGTTGGGATGCACTTCTATTTTTATTTAATTACCGCTTGTTTTCTAGTTTTGCCCAGAATGTGTGAAACCACTAAAGACATTCATGAGCGCGCTAGGCTCCTGGTTTGGAAATGACAAGACCCAGCGTTTGTGATGAGGTCAGCCCGCGAAGTTAACGCTTTGGGATGTGACTGCCTTTCCCGTGAACTAGTTAAAACCTGTGAGGATAAGAAAGGTTTTAAAAGAGGCTTAAAATCCGGGTTCTGGAAAAGTAGTTTTATTTCGTTGCAGAGAAGTCGACTCCCTGAGCTTCGGTTCCAATACTAAATGACACCGTGTAGACCGAAAAATGAAATGCTAAAAGTGCCGTTCTTCCGAGATCCACTCTGGGGTCTGTACTTTCCTGCTGTCACTGTTTTGTTGGCCTTACACCACTGCCATTCGATTTGAGATGTTGCAGACCTCTTCATCTGCACATGTGTTCTGGTTATCGGCTCCCTTCTAGCAGCTTCAGCACCAGTGTGAATTTCATTTTTTTAAGTGCCATAGCCATCTCCTCTGTTCAGATTCTGACATTCAGGAAAATATCTTTATTTTTATGCCATACTGAAACCTACAATGTGTATCTGACAAAGCAGTTAAATGTGACAATAAAAACTTATTTAATCATGGTACCACCGTTGTGACGTCTGTCTCAGCACCCACCAAGGTCTTGCCTCAGTTCACTCAGGCCATTCTTAGGAGACTTAATACAGTGTTCTGTCTTTTAAATGTTCGTTCGTTTGTTTGTTTTTTTGAGATAGAGCGCACGTGCAAGCAGGGGAAGGGCAGAAAGAGAGGAACAGAGAGAACCCTAAGCAGGCTCCATACTGTCAGTGCAGAGCCCCACACGGGGCTCAAGCTCACAAACCATAAGATCATGGCCCGAGTCGAAATCAAGAGTCGGACGCTTAACCAACTGAGCCATCCAGGGGCCTTTTAATACGGTTTCCTAAAGGTCACGAAAACTTACCAGCGTTCAGAATTTGGGTAAGGCTGGTTTCGGGAAAATCCGAGAACGCTATTTACTAATATGTTCCTGTTGATTTCAAGGAGCATGTGTTGAGTACCAAGAGAACGGAGTATCCATTGAGTGCAACACTGAATCTTAGAAAGTCCCCCAAAGGCACCTTTCCCATAAGAACTGGTCTTGTTTGAAGAGATTCCTGCCTGAATCAAGCTAACCATGTTTAGATGTTTAGACGTTATAGAACCTGGTGCTCCTAGAGTCATAGGGATTACAGAACTGCCTTCTGATGAGGATCTGCTGGCTAGCGAGCACTTTCTGGATTCTGTGTGAGCCGTTCCCGGTGATCAATGTATCTCTTCCAAAATCCAAGGCGAGAGGCTGTTTCAGTGAGATTTAAAATTTTTTTTGTTTCTAACGTTTATTTATTTTGGGGACAGAGAGAGACAGAGCATGAATGGGGGAGGGGCAGAGAGAGAGGGAGACACAGAATCGGAAGCAGGCTCCAGGCTCTGAGCCGTCAGCCCAGAGCCTGACGCGGGGCTCGAACTCACGGACCTCGAGATCGTGACCTGAGCTGAAGTCGGCCGCTTAACCGACTGAGCCACCCAGGCGCCCCTCAGTGAGATTTTAAAATGGGGGCTCTAGCCCTTCAAGATTCTACTCTGTGTCTCCTCCAACTATTTAGAGAAAAGAAGACAGGATTCTTTTAACTTACTTAGAAGTCTGGCTATGCTTAGTTACATGTTGGAATTGGCTTTTCTGGGGAAGGACCAAAACATAAAAACAGAAATTTCATCCCCAAAATTCAGACTCTAGGGATTTACATTTTAAAATTCCAAAGTGGAGCAGTGACAATAACTGCTTTAATAAAAAGATTTTTTTTAAGTTTATTTATAATCTCTACACCCAGCGTGGGGCTTGAACTCTTGACCCTGAGATCCAGAGTTGCACGTTCCACTGACTGAGCCAGCCAGTTGCTCCCAAAAAAGATTTAAATGTACCATCTTGTGAATCCATTTTTTTTTTTTTTTTTTTTTTTTTTTTTTTTTTTTGGAGCGAGAGAGGGCGTGAGTGAGCAAGGGGCAGAGAGAGAAGGAGAATCCCATGCAGGCTCCACACTGTTAGCATGGAGCCCAAAGTGGGGCTCGAGCTCACAAACTGTGAGATCATGACCTGAGCCGAAGTCATATACGTAACCAACTGAGCCGCCCAGGCGCCCCCATATGTTTTTTTTTTTTTTTTAAGGGTTTATTTTTGAGAGAGCATGAGTGGGGGAGAGGGGCAGAGAGACAGAATCCCAAGCAGCCTCCGTGCTGTCAGCACAGAGCCCCATGCGGGACTCAATGACAAGGTCTGTGAGATCGTGACCTGGGCTGAAATCAAGAGTCCAACACTTAACCGACTGAGCCACCCAGGCATCCTGTGAATCCATATCTTACGCAGCTAAAAAAAGGAGTCTGGGGAATGCAAAATAAAAATACAATAGAAAAAACAGTTATTACCTTGTTCTGGGTCAGTACAGGTTTCATTTCAGTTGCTAGAAGATCATTCTACAAGGCTCTGCTTCCTTCTGGCTCACAGCAAACCTTAATTCTGTCAGACAGGAAGACTGAAAGGAAACTGGTTCTGCAAAGGTGGTGGTAATAAATAGTGGGAAATGTTTACTTTTCGACATCATGGCAAACAGATTTAGGGAAAGTTCTGGCATTTCACTTACATTGTCTTCCCTTTTACAGTGATTTTCATGATGTCCTAAATAAAGCAGGAGAGTCAGGACATCGGGTACATCCAAACTGAGCTGCTCTGGGGTTTCTCTGACCCCTGGAGATTGGGGAGGGGTGGCCTCTCTCTAGCAGTGAGGCCTTAGAACCTCCACAGGGAGAGGTCCTCTTGAATGCCAGGTGCCACGCATGATCCAGAATGTAGTACTGAGAAGTGGCTTTCTATGTGCACAAAGATTTAGCAAAAAGGTCATTCACTGTAGCTTTTTTCTAACAGTAAAAAACTGGAAATCAATACTAATGATAGCAGAATGGTTCAATTTGGTACACCCATAGAAGAAGCAGTCCGTAGCCATTAAAAATACTGAGATAAAGTAAAAAAGATGTCTTGATGTGGAAAGATAGGTTCTAGGTACATGAAGAAAGCAGGATTCCAAGTAGTATGTAAGTTATAGTCTGATTTAAAAAAAAATTTTTTTTTAACGCTTATTTTTGAATTTTTTTTCTTTTTTTTTTTCAATGTTTTATTTATTTTTGGGGGGACAGAGAGAGACAGAGCATGAACAGGGGAGGGGCAGAGAGAGAGGGAGACACAGAATCAGAAACAGGCTCCGAGCCATCAGCCCAGAGCCTGACGCGGGGCTCGAACTCAGGGACCACGAGATCGTGACCTGGCTGAAGTCGGACGCTTAACCGACTGCGCCACCCAGGCGCCCCGATTTAATGCTTATTTTTGAGAGAGAAAGAGAGTGCAAGCAGGGGACGAGCAGAGAGAAAGGGAGACAGAATCCGAAGCAGGCTCCAGGCTCCGAGCTGTCAGCACAGAGCCCAATGTGGGGCTCGAACTCACAAACTGTGAGATCATGACCTGAGCTGAAGTTAGCCACCCAGGTGCCCCAGTTATGGTCTGATTTTTAAGGGGAAAAATATATAATACTGCTGTTGATAGAAAACAATCTGGAAGGATCTTCACCACAGTATTAACAGTGTTGTCCCTAGGTCATGGCAATACAGGTGATTTTTTTTTCCATCCTTATTTGTATTTTTTTTAATGTCTATTTTTGAGAGAGAGAGAGGTGGGGTGAGGGAGGGGCAGAGAGAGAGGGAGACTAGAGGATCCAAAGCAGGTTCTGGGACAGCAGAGAGCCCGATGCGGGGTTTGAACCCACAAACTACAAGATCATAACCTGCGTCGAAGTCGGATGCTCAATCGTCTGAGCCACCCAGGTGTCACCATCCTTATTTGTGTTGTCTAATATTTCTGCAGTAAGTATTTGTATAATAAAAGACCTCGGAAATGGTGGGTCATTGGTTACATGAATTATTTCACGCACACCACCCTAGAAATGATTCTGTAAACATTCTTGATTCCCTGGGTCTCTTCACCACCTCACTGCAGTTTTTTAGATTTGTGGCCGATGTAGATCAGCCTTCTGAATGCTGCTAACTTCTCTGCATTCAACTTTTACCTGATTTCCAGATGAAATCACGTACAGTAAAACCTTGGTTTACGAGCTAATTCGTTTCAGAAACATGCTTGTAATCCAAAGCATTCGTATATCAAAGCAAATTTCAAGAACCATTGGCTCAGTTGTGGTCATGTGACATTCGGCATCAGGTACCACTCGTATGGCAAGGCATCACTC